CCAAGATACCCAAACTCCTCCATATCAGACAGCAGCTCATTCCACAGAGTGGACAATCCACCCTTTTCTGACTTATGTCAGACGTGGATGTGCTTATTCTCACACTCATTACTGGGGATTAATAAAAGTCATAATTTCCCCTGTCTCTCAGCACTGTGAGTGGCACTGTGAGCCAGGATGCTACTGTACAGAGGGAAAAGTCCTGTCTGCTAATGGGACCGTCTGTTTAGAGAAGGAGGATTGTCCCTGCCTGGACCTGAACACCGCACGACGGCTGGAACCTGGAGACACCATTGAAGCCATTGATGGATGCAACAACTGGTCAGAATTATACAAACACATTAGGACACACAAAGATAACCAGTTAGAGAGGAAACCTGAAAATCCTTCTGTTCCTTTGTTCTTTAGCACCTGCGAAGGTGGGAAATTCAACTGTACTCGAAACCCTTGTCCAGGTAAGTAAAGCCAGCTTTCAGTTTCAGAGTCAGATCATCTTAATAGTGTTAACATGTAGGACGATGTAGACAATGGTTATGTCTTGTAGTGGGTATAAAATAGCACAGATCGTTGTTTACATTCGATTTAGTGTCAGGTGGCTGGTGTGAGTGGTCAGAGTGGACGCCCTGCTCCAGGACCTGTGGAGCAGAGTCAGTGACCCGATACAGAAGCTGCAGCTGTCCTGAACCAGAGGCCGGAGGAGAGCCGTGCTCTGGTGAGCAGGAAGTGCACAGCGGGGTTGGAGTGCAGATCCACAGGCAGCCCTGCCCCGTCGTTACTTTCTGTCCAGGTGAGATGATAATGTCTCATGGCAAGACACGTTCATACAGTTTGTAAATGTTCTGGATGCTTGTGGCTGAAACTACTTGCCTTTGGGCTCAAGGTCAGAGGTCAGAGGTCACGTTTTCTGAAAATCTTGTGAATGCAATAACTCGAGATGGAAGTCACCGAGGATTTTTGATTTTTAGGATTTATACAGATTTCTGTGTCATGTTGAAAAATGACCTACTGTTACTGCACTTTTCTCTCTTATTGAGATATTACAGTTTTTAAAAATTGCTACTGTTGTTAATCACTGTGCATTTGTCTCTTACTTACAGCCTCGACCTTTTCAAATATTTTCAAATATTAATATTTTAATATATTGATTTTCTGGTTCCAGCTACAGAGTCTCAGTTACATCAGAGTAGTTGTACCTCTTCTTCTTCTCATTTCCTTACTGTGTCTTTAGTTCACGGCTCGTGGAGTCCCTGGTCCATGTGGTCAGAGTGCGA